TGGACAAAGGCTTCCAGCTCCTGCCTCTGCCCTGCTTCACCCGCGCGAGTGCTTCAAACTGCTACCACCGACAGCCCCCGACATGGTTTCTCCCCCCCACCCCCGCACAGCTCCAGCCGTGCTATCTGCTGGTCAGATGGGCAAGAGCTCTTGAGCCCCGGCTTTTCCTGTTAAATAAAGCGCTGAAGAAACGCAGGTCTCGTGAGCACCGGAGGGCTGCAGGTGGGGGTAGAGGAAGGAGCAGTGGGGCCGCGCTCGCAATCTCGTCGTGCTCACGTCTGGCATTTGTCAGGCAGCTTGGCATGCCGATAGCGAGGTGACAAACAGGGAAATGGGAAGGGCCTGGGGACAAACTTCCACCTGTCCCTGCTGCCGGTCCAGCAATGTGCCTCTTCTCACCAACACGCACCCTCCTGCCCTGACCCCTGCCCCTATCGGAGAGATAAGGGTTATCTCTGCTTGCTCCAGCTCGTGGTGCCAGGGAGGGAGAGGAAGCGGGGAGCCCTGGCTCCCTGCCCCGAGCCGCTGCCCTGCCACTGTATGGGATGAGGACATGAGATGAATGTGTCCCATGGGGAGCCTCTCTTCCCTGATCTCCAGGGCATGGGGGTCCTCATATGTCCCCTCTCCAGCACGCAAACTGGGTCTTCCCTCAGAAGCAGTCAGCCACAGCTAAGCCAGCTGATGAAGCACTGGGGTGGATGAAGACTTTATCCACCAGAGATGCTTTTGTAGTGGGCACTGGGCAGATGCTTTGGGCAGAAATGAGTTACTCCATAAATAGAGAGAAAAAATTGCAGACAAGCATGGGCATCCTCTCTCTGGGAAAAATGACAACACGCGAGGACTGTGGATGTGCAGGACTCCTGCTGCGCTGGCATGTAATAAGCATGCGTTGAGAAGTGGTGCCAAGGCTGAGAGTCCAAGGGACCTTCAGGACACAGCAGCAGCCTGGAGCATGACAGGAATGTGCTGCATCCTGCTGCTTGATACCATGGGCCTGTGCTGGGTGGGAAATGCTGCCCTTATCTGTCCTGCTCTCACCCAGCCTGGGGCTGGCTGTATTGTTTCAGGATCCCATGTCTCTGCTTGTAATCTCAGGCAGAATGGTGTTTGCTCGGGGCTGTTTCTAATGCACTGGGTATTGTCCTCTCAAGCCTATTGGACAAAGTGATGACAAGGACCTGGTAAAAAAAGGTTCTTGTATCACTGCTCAGCTATGTAGGGCACTGGCGGCCTCCTGTCACAGGGACGTTAGGGCTTTCGGTTGGGGTCTGGCACTTTCTGCTCACCCTGCCGGAGGTGATTAGAGGAACACGTCAGCTGAACTTTCCACTATATAAACAGTTGACATTCCAAGGTTAAAGTAAAATGATTTTAAACCCTGTCATCTTTCTGGTATCGCAAAAACAAAAGGCTTAACGTTCAGAAGCGCCAGTGCTCATCTCTGCTCTGTGTTCGGCCCTTTGCCCCAAACTGTGAGCACCACAAGGTGCCTCTGACTCCAAAAATCAGCTTGAGGATCCTTCAGGCTAGGGCTCTATTCTGCAGAAACCTGGGCTGGGATTGTGTTCCTGGTGCACTTGCACCTCCTCCTTCTCATGGCACCCAACATTAACAAGTGACTTCACGTTTGACCCTAATGTGCTGTGTGATTCACCCTAAATGGGATAAAACTCTCTTACAGGGGACAGTTTTTCCTCAGCCATGTAATAGAAGGGCATTGTGCAAAGGAGAAATTTCAAATGGATCCATTTTTTTAAGCCAGGCTTTTTGTTTTTATCACTTTTGTGCTGTAAATCTCTCTTTACCACAAGCTCCTGACAAGGCAGCTGGAGAGAAACGCTGTTTCCAGCTCACTCACCCAGCCTCCAAACCTCTGCTCCAGTGAATAAAGTCAGGCTCAAACTGCCTCAAATGTTTACAAAGGGGGGAGAGGGGAGGGTATTTTCTTTTCCACTGTTCTTCCCTTCGATAAGTGGCTGGGGAGATTTTACTTGAACTCTTCTTAAAAATTCCTCTTCAGTGCTGGAACATTTCACCTCCAAAGATGAGAGCTGTGAAATGCTGGAAAAGGAGCAGCTCAAGGGCCACACTAGAAAAGCCACAGCAGGAAAACCAAGAGCAGGAACAATTGTGGGGCAGGACAGAGCAGTATTGGAGCCTTGAATATCTTGTGTCACCTATGCTAGTTTCTGAGCTGAAATGAAAGTTAAAGTATTTCCTGTTTCAATTCCCATTTTCGGCATCACTCCTGTTGTTTAAACCCCCTTCCTGTCCCAGAGCCCTGCCACTGTCCCCAGATTGCTCTGAGCTCCAGAACAGGCACCTAATATGGGATTTTGCCAATGGAAATAATCCCATGAATTGAGGAACCAGGAGGAACAGAACAAGCAGCTCCCATGGGGCAGAGCATCTCTCAGACCCTCGAACACAGGCTGCCGTCCTCGTACTGCAGGACCCCTCTGGCTTTCCTGCCCCTTTCTCTGCCTTGGGCTCTCCCTGTCCTGCTATTGGCCCTGGTGAAACCTCAGTCACCTTTAGCTTTGTGTCAGCTCCCACACCAGCCTCCCTGCAGCAGTACAGGACAAAGGAAAGTGGAGGATTTTGCTTCTGCCCTCTGGTTGGGGGTAGGTGATAGAGAAAACCCAGCTTAGGCATAAGTGAAGTGCTGGGCACTGGTAGGTAGGAGTGAATCCTGCTCTGGGGTGCAGGCTGCTCTTTGTGTTCCCCAGCAGTCTAGCACCCCAGGGATGCTACCTCACCCCAGAGATTCAGCATCCTACTCTGCTGGGCCTTGCATCCCACTAACATCAGTGGAAATAAGAGAACTGAACTGGAACACTTCACTCCCACCTACTGGGATGTAAAAGCTTGACAGGGCATAAATGGGTAAACCCAAGCTGGCCTCACAACATGTGTGCACCCAGGTCCTCTCCCTCAAGAGGGAGGCAAGAAAGTTTTGTCTCCAGCAGTATCACATATGTGCTCAAAGCCTTGCTGAGGGAAGCAGCTTAAGAAGAGAGATTCTGAGGAGACATGGGCATTTTGCAGTGGTTATTGTTCTAAGATGAGAGCTCTCTTTTGCCAGATGTGGACAAAATAGCCCAGGCTGTGCTGGACTGGGCTGCTTACTGTGAAAATAGTAAAATTTAAGCAATAAATGCAGCTTTTAAGTCGAGGTCAGTCACCTCCTGCAGCCGCTGCAGTACATCCTCATAACCTTGCCAGCCCCGTGCCATGCACACAAGACAACATCCACGTTCACTTCCACTACCTTTTATGGCCTCTTTCACAGCGGAGTTGACAGGAATAATATTCTTCTCCACCAGCTCCAAAGGACCCGGCCTGAGAGCAATCTTTTCATTGAGATCATCTGCCAGTCGGGCTCTTTTCAGCTTCATTTGAGTAGACTGAATGGACCCCTCTGCAGCTGAGTCTAAAAGGCCAAATGGAAGGTGTCAGTTCAGGACCTGGGGCATCTCCAAGCACAGTGCACAGTGAGAATGTGCTTCCCCTTCAGCACAGCCAAAATCAGGGCTGCAGCCAAAGCCTAAGCATGGCTCAGTGCACAGCAGGAGCTGCTGGCAGGCTGGGAGGCAGTATGCTGGATTGGATGGAGCTGATGGGATTTGGGACATAGGTCCTCCTCTGAGCCTGAGGTCCAGCTTCTCCATTCCCAGGCAAAAGTCTTTGTCTACTAGCCTTGGCTTGCAAAGCCATTCTGCAGCTGGAGCATCCTCCCCAAGGACCAGGAATGATCTGCAATGGAAACTTCATTAACAAACTCCCACTAACGTAGGGGCCAAAGTGGACTCCAGCTCCTGCCTGCTAGGAGCCCATTGACCCTTGCTGGCTAATGCAGGTGGATCCCTACTTCCGGGGAACAGCTGGAGAAATGAACCATTGACAGTGTTTGACAGATGGAGTAAATGTCTTGCACTGGAAGGAAAAAGGCTGAGGTTTTGGGAGTAGACATTTGGAGGCAATATAAGAACAGTGTTCCAGGACTTCAGGGAAGAAACAAGCTGGAGAGGAGCATAACAAAGGCAGATAGATCTGGAAACTACAGCCCTACCAAACCCAGCTGACAAGTCTACAGTTATTGAGTGGTGGCATAAGAGTAGCCAATTACACAGACATTTCCTGAACAGAGGTGGTCTGGCTTCTCTGGTGGCTCAGGCATGAGTAGTGAGGGAGTGGGATTCTAAACTAGAACATGTCTATACCCTTGGGGTTCTAAAGTAAGAAGGACTGTGTCCAGGTTGTGCTATCTTCAAAGACTGGAGACTCTTCTAGAAGAGAGATGTAAGCAACAGATATTACAGGGCTTTATACCATGGAAGAATTCTCTGCAGGAGGTCAGGAGAGCTGATCCAGGGTAACTTCTGGCCTCAGACTATACAGGGCAGTAAACACACTTGAGGTGAACAGTAACAGAAGGTGTCTGTGTAAAGCATTTAGATGATGTGAAGTCTCAGTTGGCCAGTTTCAATCACCTCTAGGTCCTGTTATGAACCAAGTAGACACGTGAGTCCATGATATGCCAGGGCACACATTCATGAAATGCAGAGGTGTGTGTGGGGCAGCACAGCCAGCTTGCTCAATACAAAGCCAGGCAGTCTCTGCTCCAGCTCTCCTCTGGCTGTGTCTGCCTTGCCCTGCCCATGCCTGGTGACTGCAGCTGCCCCCACGTCTGGTTTACAGTCCCCTAACTCCTGTAGTGCTTCTATGGTTTATCCTAAGGGAAAGACACTTTCCACCTGATAAACAACCAATGGTGCTAACTCATTTTAGGGATGGACACTCAAGGGAAAAGCAAGGCAGTGGCAGTGATCTGGAATGGGTCCCTGCCTCAGCCCTCCTGTGTGCTAGAGGAAAAAGAAATATGGACTTCATCCATGCTGAGAGCAGAGGCCCGCAATTACAGTTGCCAGAGAGTGATCTGCTTCTTCCAGGCATCTGACAGGACTTCAAGAGAGAGGCTGCACATCCTCCCTGACTTGAAGGAGCTCAGTATCTCTGGAGATAACAGGAGACACCACAGTGTTCTGCTGTCTGTGACGGGATGCAGCAGAGCTGTGCCAGCTCTCTGGCTGGGAAGGGACACCAGGATGGGAGATGGGAGAGGTGCTGTGGCTCATGGACTGATAGCAGGGCTCGCCCTTTACAGCTGTGCTTGGCATGAGCCAGCACACTAAATATCCAGAAGTATGGAAAAACAAAAGACGTCCAGCTTTGGGAGGGCTTTTGCAGCCACCCATTACAGGGATTTCACTGCCCTGGACAATGAATGCCCTGGTGTGCTTTTCATGAGGATCACACCTTGGCATGTCTGTCTAATATGAGTCCTCTCTTACAGCTGTTCTCTACAGTATCTCACACTGGTCCCTGCCAGAGATGGGAGAAAGGTTAGATAACCTTTGGGTCTTCTGTCAGGGAATAAATGTGTGTCCCACCTCCTTAAGACCAGGACTGAATTCCATACATGTGTCCCATTTGAATCTGACCCTCATGAGCAGCTGGGACAAAGTTAATCCCAATAAGAGTCCTGAAGAGAAGCCAAGTGGGGCAGGAAAGACATGAGTCACAAGGCAGGAGACACAAGGAGTATGTGGGAGAAGCTCAGGCAGTCTTACCTTGTAAAATGTGCATATTGACCAGGTCTGATCTCTCAGGCCTGCTTCTGATCTTGTGCTTGAGATAATCTTCAGTCTGCAGGACACAAATGCAGAGAGTTACCTGGGTAGAGCAGCAGTAAGGTCTAGAAAGCATGACCCCATGGTTCTTTAGGATTTATTATAGTGTTCACTATACCCACTCCTAAGATGTCTCCTTTCCAATTTCCCTTGGGTTTCCCATGCCTGGAAGTATTACAAGAGCCTATGGGAAGGATGAGATCTATTCAACGGGGAGTGGTGGATCTTCTCCTAGCTTAGCATACCATGTGGACTTTGAGAGCTGCACCAAGGCAGCTCCAGAGTGTACGGTTAGCAATGACGGCTTTTGTGGCAAGCCTGGCACACTGGGGCTCAGCAGGCCATGAAGATTCCCAGGCTCTCTAACCAGAGAAAGCTCCTGCAGCTCCTGTGCTCTGTGCTCCTCACCCCAGCTATGATGTGGGACTGGGAAAAGCCACTTTGCAGATCACTGCTGCTGAGCTTGTGATCGACATGGTCCTGGAGCCTCCTACCAACTTCCTCATGGCTTTAGGAACAGAAAGGCACTCAGATGTACAAGAACACCATCCATTAGGCCCAAGGAAGTCAGTGTTGAGGGCAGCTGACCTCAAGAATATAAATATAAGCTTATCCACTGCTGAAGAAAAGCAAGAGCACAACTTGGACAAATTACTAGCTGTTTGCTAAATTAAGGTACAGGAAGAAATAGGACCAAAAAATGTACATAGTTCAAAGAGGTTAAAATCTTAAGGATAAATATAAAAGAATAGTACAAGCAGCTGGCGCAAAACTGGAAAACCCACGGTACAAAATGTACAGGATCATGAGAAAAAGATTTCATAAGGACTTCTGTAGCCATGACAAGGCAATGGAAAATGCTGTCTGTGTTCCATAAACAGGAGAAATAATTATACATGCTGCTGGGATGGCTACAGGATTTAATGCATTTTTAAACCATCCTCACTAAGAAGATAAATGGCTATTTATCAATCAGATGACTAAGCCAAAAACTTTCAGCAACAAAAGAGAAGAAACCCCAGTTATCGGGTTGGATAACAGGTTGGAGAATACTCAGATGAGTTAAATGTTCCCAGTCTGAGATACACAAGGCTAGAGCAAAATCTCCAGGAAACTGGGCAAGGGAGAGCATAATTTCTTGCTTTAAATGAGATGGAGAGATGAAACAAGGAATTTATAAACCAGTCAGCAAGATATTGGACCAAGTAATCAATCAGTCTCTGTAAACAGATTTTGAAGATAGAGAGGAGGTGAGTAAGAGCCAGGATGGATTGATCAAGAGCAAACCACATCGCACCAACCTAATTTCATTCTATGGAGACCTGTCAGATTTCTGTTACAGGAATAAACAATGAATGTCATGTATCTTGACTTGAAGCATGTTTTGACATTATCTCACATGGCTTTCTCACAGGCAAGCCAGAGAAATTTGGTCTGGATAAGACTAACATAAGAAAGGAGCGTAGCTGTGGGTCACCAGAGGAATTAGGAATAGCTCACAGTCTAAACAGAAGAATAGATCAACTCACATTACACAGCATTTTTTTCTACTAGCCAATACATTCATTACTGTATTGGAGGATAGAAGATATACTCAAAAGCTCTGAATCATTCAACGGTAACAGATTACAAAGCAACATGATTTGGAGTAATTGAAGAAATGATCTGAAGTAGTTCTGATCCAATTGCAAGGATACTTGGAAAGGACTGCATTCAGGCCACAGCTGATTCTGCACTGGGGTGGATGAAGACTTTATCCACCAGAGATGCTTTTGTAGTGGGCACTGGACAGTAACTTTGGGCAGAAATGAGTTACTCCATAAATTGAGAAAAAAATATAAATGGCTCTGGAGAATCTGGTGATCAGCAGCAGAACCACATTGACCAATAGGCAGCTTTCCAGGAGACGCAACAAAGGATTTCAGATGGGCCCTAAGAATAACAAACTCCTGTTCTATGCCCTGTGTCTGAAAGGGTCCATGTGAAAGGTCTGAATGACAGCTACAGAAATCATTCTAGAGCCAGAGATGGGCTCAGTGGGGAGAGGCTGAAGGGAGGGAAGGTTGCTCAGCCCAGAGGTGAGATGGCTACAGAGAAATAGGGTGCAAAATACTTCTAAAAAATGCTACAAGAAAAAAGCTAAGCAGCTGTGCATGTGCATGAGTAGGGAAGAAAGAGCCATGGGCTTCAATTTCAACAGAGCAGCTTGGTCAGGGAGCTGGGGCCCCTTGCTAAGAGCACAGGTTAGAGAGCAGGGGGGCAGCTGCTGGGGGTGGGCTGTCTGTTGGTGGTCAGAGATGACCCAGCCAGGGCTGTGCTGCTCTGGGGTAGAGGCATGACAGCTTTTCCTCCCTGCCACGCTTGCTGGGTGCTGGAAGGAAGCACTTAAACCCTGCTGAGCCTCAGGGAAGTCAGCCTGCTCCTTGTCCTCCAACCCAGCAAGGTCTTATAGGACATTGACTTCAAAGGCTGTACACTGGCGTGATGCCAACCTCTAACGTTAGTGACATGTTTAAACAAATAATGAACATTTTATTTACTGAAGCCTTTATGATTCCTTACCCTTCCCTCCATAGGTTTTCCCCAGATTATTTTCACCAACACAGTCCCTTGCTTGGACCATGTGTAGGTTCGCCTGGTTCTTATTAAGGTCAGAGCAAGCTGGTGTCTGCACCTGAGTGCAATTAAATTCACCTAATGCATTTCTAGCTAGTCCTCAGGTCAGGTCCTCACTTGGGCTAAGCTGAAATTGCTGCCCTATAGATGTGGCATTGTCCGTGTCAAACCCAGCATTCACACTGCATTACCCTGACTTTCTGCTCAGGTTTCAGTTCCTTTTGACCTTTGCTGTTTATAAGCTGCATTTGTGTCACTGGGGTGCAAATGGTGGAGAAAGACTTCATATGTGTTTGGGTTTGTTTTTTTTTTAGCACCAGCTGAAGCAGAAGAGCTTTCAAAACATATGAAAGCAGTTCTTATTATCTGCTTTCTGTTTGCAGAACCTCAGTTTGGAGGAGTATCAGCTAAACAACAAAGGCCACTGAGTAAGTAGCTGGAAACAGCTGCTGCTCCTTCCCTGTCACAGCTCGAAGCAGGGCATCCTTGCAAAGGAGTATGTTTGTTATGAGCCCATAATGCTCATTAATGTCTTCAATCACATAGTCTAAAAATGCAGTTTGGGATAGATTAGAGCATCCTTCCCTTTCCCCAGGCAAGTAGCCAGTGAAAGCTTCTGAAGAGAAAGACAAAGAGATACAGATGTATACTTGAGCTGTAAAATATGTGACACTTCAGGGATACTTTGGATTGCTTGAAATTCTGTAAGCACACTAATTTTTCAGAGTCATGCTGTGTTTCTTGTCCTGGCCATTTATTACCACAGGAGGCTCAGGGCAAGTGATTTGGAGTGTGTTTAAGTTCAGATGAGCACTTCATATTTCACAATCATTCTTCCTTGCAAAGGTCCTTTCCTATACACAGATTAATGGAACATACTCTTTGTGTTCAAGCAAAACCTGCATGACTGAGTGTTCCCTTTTCCGTGGACATCCCTCCAGCTTGGTCAAGGCTGGATGGGGAGTGCTTGGAAAACTGGTCTGATTTCCCACAGAGTGGTCTCGCAGGGTTTCAATGTGTTCTGGAAATGCCTACTTATCTCTGCCTTCAGTAACATTTAGGGAAGCCTGAGTGCAGTTAGATAGCAGTGCCAGAGTGAGCCTGGCCCACTTAGCCCCTTGGATGTTTTGTGTTCTAATAGCCACACTGCACTGCAGAGCTAAGAGCCAGGCTGCTGCCTGATGACAAATGTGAGTTCCCTGGGGATTTGCTCCAGGTGACAAAGGGCATCTGCATGCCTCCTGCACACTTGCTAAATAGTTAGGATCCTTCAGCCCTGTTTGCTGCTGGCTCTGCCCTAACCCTGCTGAGGAGTGGAGAGCAGTCAGTGCAGTGAGGAGTGGGCTGTGGACCTGTCCCAGAGAGGAAGACTTCAGCTGCTTGGACATTCACTGGAAGGACTGCTGATGCCATGTGAACTGTTTCCTGCCCACAGCCTCTTGTAAACCCCAGGGGCTGTTGTAAAACCCCATAGCTCAGGACACAGATGTTCCACAGCATCTGTGAATCCTGGCTTGGCCCCACCATGTCTGGAAGCAGGGGAGATGCTGTGACCCTCACCCTTCGCCACAGAGCTTGAAAAAAGGATGCCAGAGCAGGGGACAATGATGGAAAGTGCTTTCAAATCCTGCAAGTCATGCAAAGCAAGCCCACGTGTCCCCTCACTGGGATGGCTGCAGGAGTTACCTTGGCTCGCTCCAGACTTTTTCGCTGTTCATGGAATGCGGATGGGCTTTTCAGTGCTGCAACAGGAAAGAGAGAGGAGCAGTCAGCACAGGAGTGGAAGCAAGCAGCTACCAGGGTATTCAGCTACAGCATTTTAATGAGGGCTATATAAATAGCAACACAAACTAGCCATTCCCTTTATTGCACCGATTAAAAAAAACTTAGGAAAGCTCTGGGAAATCCCTTGCTCTCAGTCCATGGATGGAGAGCACGGGGAGCGGAGGAGGCACATGGGCAGGGAGGGGGTGCAGGCTTTGAAACACAGTGCTCTGTGGGACACATCAGAAAGCAGATGTGGCTTTTCCTTGGAATCCTTCCTGCAGGTCATGGAAGGCACCAGAGCCCCCGAAGACAGATGTGGGAAGAGCTACAACCTGAGAGGGGACCTCATCTGCAAGAAAAACCTGCAGGTGATGGAGGCTTAAGGCCAGCAGGAAAACTGCCTGGCCTCTACCACGCTCTAGCGAGATTTCAATGCAAGGTCCCTTGTCCCTCTTCCATCGCTGACCTCCGCTCCACCTCTCAGTGGATGTTGGCCCTGTCCTCTGCCCAGAAGTATCTGTGTGACATGGGGCCTCCCTAAGCAGGCAGCTGCCCGGTCAGCTACCAGGCTGCAGACCATGCCCTCAGCATCTTCTGACACCAAGTAGGATTAACCCAGATGGGGTCCCAAAAAATGGCCAATGATCACTGGCTCTTGGACCAGTGAACACGAGTCCCATGGAGAAATCTGCAATGGAGTCATGGAGAACCTTGAACCTTTACTCTGGTTCAGTAGAAATAGGAGCAGAATTTATATGGTGAAGGGGTTAATATTTCTGACATCCTGCAAAAATTCTTTCCTGGCTGTGTAAGAGGCAAAATTAACTGTTCCCATTGGGACAGAGAAGATATCTGGACCCACAAAAACAGCCTTCTACAACTCTGTTCGGCAATAGGAATCCCCTTTCGATCTTCTGAATGGAATCCAGTAGGGACAGAAACTATTTCCACATAGCACATTTTATACTCCATCAGTCTAGAGGAGGATGAAGAGAAGACTTGAGGGCAGATGGGAAATGTCTGAGGGCCCTCTGTGTTGCCTTTTGATAGGCAACCCCCAGCGTAACCCCTATAAACCCCAGTAAATCACAGTAAACCACTATGTGAGCCTATTCCTGCTCCTAACATGGGAAAGCAGACATACAGACAAGCATTACTGTGCCATGCTCCAGTAAGCAGCCATGAGGACTTGTGAGGTTTAATCAGAAGCAAACTAAAATGATGCACACACGAACATGAAGTTAGCAAGAGAGATGACTTCTCCAGCCCCGCTCACTGTGAAGTACTGACACAGGGAGTGTGCTACGGGCATCGACCAAACACCGTGCTGTTCAAGAGGAACATGTTGCAGAATTTAGTAATTTACCAAGATTTTTGGAGGAATTATGTGGATGCTGCAGCTTGTATTAGTCTGCAAAACAAATAGAGACATTGCTAGCTCTTGTTACTCAGACAACTTGTCAGGGGATGACATGTCAGCTTGAGATGGCTGAGGGTCTGGAGGCAACAGGGCAGAGTTGCTGTGCTTGGTGTTGATAATCTTGGGACTATTGCCTCTAAGGTTTCAGTTAGAGGATGAGGTGGTGGCTGTGTACAGCAAAAGTCTTCAAGCACAGCTATTTCTGCAGCCCATCACTCTACTGGGAGCCTTGCCTTGAAGGGAATCCTTGATGCTGCAAGCTGCCTCCCTTCCTCCTGGGTACGTGATCAGGGTCTGGCTGGGGCCTGGGGCAGGTGTCTGTTCAGGTCCAGAGAGATGGGTCACTCATGCTGAGCCCTACAGCCTGTGTTTCTGCAGGTGACACCACATGTTCTTGGTTTAAAATGCTTTAGCTAAGCCTGTACCAGTTTCACCAGGACAATAAAACCATGTGTTGGTGCATGAACTGGAAACTTCCTACTGAATGAGCCTGAAGAAAGGAACAGGCTCTGCTCTCACCTGCTTGCTGTGTGCCAAAGAATCTGATCTCCCCTCTCTCTCAGAGGATCCTCCATACACAGAGTCACAGGGCTGCAGGACCTCAGTGGCTGCTCTTGCCTATCAGTCTGTGCCTGTCACTATTGGCAGAGCCCTTTTCAGCAGTGTTGATTGTTTTGTCAGCCAGTTGTTTAATTTACAACCTGAAAACATCTGAAAATCTGAGCCCAGCTTTAAAACCGAAGCCTTGTGCAGTGCTACTGCTCCTGAGCATCCTCCTTTAGGCAGTTTCCTGCCTTCTCCAGTGATGAGGCCATATGAAGGTTTCATAGTTCTTAGAGAAACATCTGAAGAAGTGTGATCAGAGCTCAGGTATGCAACGGCATTAATCTTTTCCAATCAAACCAAGCATAGACTGGGCTTTGGTAAGGATATTCTCACTGCTATGCTCAGGTAACAGCATACAACCCTCAAATCCTTTATCCATTGCTATTCTCTTACTCTGACCTTCTGTCTCTCTGGTGTCTGTATAAAATGCATCACTTACTTAGAAAAACAAAGTTTCTCTGTCCTGGGATTATATCAGCAGAAAATGTATGCAATGGGTTGAAAGCAATCCTTGTGCAAAATCCAATGTGCAATGTGGGATCAAGTGCATGATCCAAGCCTGATACAAAACCTGACTTTCACCATGGAGACCAGCAATGTCCATCTTTACTCTTTCCAGAAAGGCAATTCTCAACCACTGTGCTTTATAGCCCCATGGGTTCATTTCTTGCCCTCCTGCAATGCATCTGAAGTGAGGTCCTGTCTTGGTGCAACACCTAGAGCCAACCTCACCCACTGGTCTTCAGAGCCAGCAGGGCATGGGAAGGTACCATAGAATCACAGACTGGTTTGGGTTGGAAGGACCTTAAAGCTCCTCCAGCTCCAACCCCCTGCCACGGGCAGGGACACCTTCCACTAGAGCAGGTTGCTCCAAGCCCCTGTGTCCAACCTGGCCTTGAACACTGCCAGGGATGGGGCAGCCACAGCTCCTCTGGGCACCCTGTGCCAGCGCCTCAGCACCCTCACAGGGAAGAGCTTCTGCCTCAGAGCTCATCTCAATCTCCCCTCTGGCAGGTTCAAGCCATTCCCCTTGGCCTGTCCCTACAGGCCCTTGTCCAAAGCCCCTCTCCAGGTTTCCTGGAGCCCCTTTAGGCACTGGAGCTGCTCTAAGGTGTCCCCTTCAGGAGCCTTCTCTTCTCCAGCTGACCCAGCCCAGCTCTCTCAGCCTGGTTCCAGAGCAGAGCTGCTCCAGCCCTCGCAGCAGCTCCGTTGCCTCCTCTTGACTTGCTCAAGCAGGTCCACACCCTTAAATAAAGACTTGTTTTCCATAAGGAATGACTGCACGTGCTCAAGCCATGGAGAGTCTGGCTGGGGCTCCCATGTACTAAATGCTGATGCCTGACGCTCCCTCCTGAGGTCAAATGCAGCAGTTAAATTTTACGTGTTTGTTTTTCTAATGGCAAAAGTGTCTTTTGTCCTATTACTTTCAGGGAGTGAACTGTGCTTAAGCTTCCCAAAATGGCCTTCTTGGACAGAACCCAGACTGCAAAATGTCAGAGTAGAATCTGGGAGTGCAAAGAAGTCATAAGTAACAGGAAAATACCCTTCAGTTGCCATCAAATAAATCTGGTTTAATATGTGGTCTGCAGTGTGTAAGGTTTTCAATGTTAGGTGTCAGTTCCATGCACTCAGTGTGCAGAGCAGTGTCAGGTTTGCAGACCTCTCAGTTGGCACCACTGCTCCATACACGTGCAAAGGGGTGTCTTGCACCTTATCTGATTATTCCCACTTTTACAGAGTGGGCTTCCCAGTTCAGGAGATGTTAGGCATAGTTTTGGCCACTGACTCTATTTCCAGTGCTTGCAATACTATAACAAATGTCACTCCTGGAGTCCTGTGGTTAAAATGCTTGCCCTTTGGTGTCAGGCAGCAGAAAATCTGAGCGCTTAAAGGAATAAACAGAAGGTAAATAGGAAGAACATACATTTATCCATCTTAAAACCATAACGATAATTTTGACAGTCATGATTTTTGTCATCCTGCTCAAGTTTTCTTAATGCTTGCTGGCAATACTGTACTGAGAAGGTGTCTGTTGCTGGCTACCAAGACACAATCCTTTAGGAAGGCAGCTGCATGGGAAGGGCTGAGGGCTGGGCAGGGTGCAGCAAGCAGTGCTAGAGCTATGCTCCTAGTGAGTTGTTCTGCTGTTTAGACAAGAGCTGCATCACAATCTTCAAGGTCAGCCAGAAGAGACAGAAGTGACACAGGCTTTGGAAAGTTGTGGTCTTAGCAGTGAACACAAGGGGCCCTTGGTGAGGATAAGCCTCTACCTGGGCCCTAGATAGTCACAGATTCGTGCACATGGAGCCTGAGCTAGGTCAGGATGGAGTTATCCATCGATCACGGCTGAGCTCCCAACAGCTTTCCTTAGTAGTGCTACAGGTTTCATGATGCACTTGCAGGTGCAGAAGGGGATCATGTTCATTCACTTACATTTTGGGATCTAGCAACTAGCCTTCTGGTGCTGAATGAGTACATATTGCTCTTCAGGCTTGAACGCCAGCTTAAAAAAGACGAATGTCGTCAGAGAGGGGAAAGCATGGACATTTGTTGGCAGCAAGCAGGCTCAGGTGGGATTTCACTGGCCTCAAGTCTACACTGACAGTTCTGTCCTGCAGCTTCCTGGCTGGGCACAGGCACAGGTCTGGATATGTCTCGCTCATAGCAATGCACTGGGGCCAAGGCAGTTACCCACCACTTCCTTCTTCCAGAGCCTCATGGAGTGGGCTGTCTCTACCTTTTCCTCGTTCTGTGGGTCTGATCCTGCCACAGAGGTTCTTTGCTTTTACAGAAGGACATGAGATTCTCTGCTTTTGCCTACATAAAAAGCTTTGTGAGTCTTCTGCTTGGAGCTGGATATGCTAGTCTGCTACGGTGACCTCTGGGACACGGAGCTATGCAGCTGAGTCTTTGGATGCTGTAAGTTAAGCATCTCTCCTGACTTCAGTTTGAGCAGTGGCATTATAACCTATGTGGCAAATGCTGGGCACTGTTGTTCAGCAACAGGAACTATGGTATTTCCATGGGGCAGGAAGCAAGGTCCCCCCTGGTAATAACCTGCTCAGAGCAGAGTGGGTCCAAGGCAGGCAGCTGGTGCCACAGCGTGCTCCAGCAGTGGCCAGGATGAACAGAGGAGTGGGTGACAAGGGCACAAACAGGTACTCACGTGGCATGATGCCTTGGTCTGCCAGCTGCTCACGGGTCCTTCTCTGCTGAAGCCGTAGCTGCAAAACTGTAAGAGAGACAGCGTCAGAAAAAGAGGCAGGATTTTAACTCTTCTCTGTGAGGGTGCTGAGGCGCTGGCACAGGGTGCCCAGAGAAGCTGTGGCTGCCCCATCCCTGGCAGTGTTCAAGGCCAGGCTGGACACAGGGGCTTGGAGCAACCTGCTCTAGTGGAAGGTGTCCCTGCCCATGGCAGGGGTTGGATCTGGAGGAGCTTTAAGGTCCTTTCAGCCTAAACTGGTCTGGGATTCTGTGAGTCTATGACAATGTGCCAGGGGTCTCTGTGTGGCACAGAGGTCTGGCACTGAGCTTTGCTGCTGCTGGACCAGCCTCGGTGCAGCAGAGTGCTCCAAGGCAAGGAGGAGCTGCGTAGGCTGAACCACCCTTATGCTCACTGCTGCAGATAGATGAGCTGGGCAGGACTGCTTCTGGTCCAGGCAATACCCTAGTGCCTGGGGCAGACTGATCCTTGCCTGGCACTGGTGATGGGTGATGGCCATGGCTTCAGCTCAGGTAGCTGCTCAGCTCTGAACTCTGAAGCTGGGAGATTCTCCCTCCTGCCAGCACTGTAGGTTGAGTAGAGCTGTCCAACTCCATCACTCTCCTGAGGGCCTGGCAGAGTACTTCCAGCCCTACAAGGCTCTGCAGTGGATGGAGATAGCCTCACTGTTCCGAGGGGGATGTAGACGATGTGGTGAGGAGAGATTAGTACCATCTCTGTATGAACCTGCTGCTCCAAGGTCCTGCAGTCTCCAGTATAACTGGGTTTTGGAAACAATGCATTGACAGGTGGGAATGAACCACTGATCAGGGTCACTGAGTGGCTTAGCAGCACGGCCTCAGCTACAGAGCATTGATGAAGCATCTTACAAAGCAGCACCTCTCAACAGTCACGGCATGCAGTGATAGCCCATCGTAAACCTGCAGCCTGCCTGGTGCAAGGCTACCTGCCTCGGCTTGGCCTGGGACAAGTCAGTTCATCCCATCACACAGGTAACCCTGTACTTTGACTTAGGATCATATTGTACACCTTTGGTTTTGCACATTTGTCTTCAGGAAGACAGGGACTTGTATCACAACCTGAAACATAGAGCTCACTTCCGTATTTTCCTGCTGGAAACTCAGTGCAGCTTGCCATAAGGACATGTATTTTTCAGTGGTCACAATGTAAGTGCATGCATATTCCCTGTCCCTCTAGCACAGGCCAAGGCTGTATCCCCTTAGCTGACCATAGAGAGGTGTTATTGGAATTGGAAGAGAGGAAGAATGGCCTCAGGAGCAGCCTGCTGAGCTCTGCCACAGCTCATGTCTACAGTGCAGCTTCCCTGGGATGTGGATGGAGCCGAAGAATAATCCCTTCCAGATGAGTCCCCAAAGCACAAGGTCCTCTTAGATGTCATTGCCTGTGACTTTCCATGTCCTCTGCACAAACCATGGCTCATATTCAGACCAAATGTTTGGTAAAGGCCTGACATGGGACCACGATCTGCCAAATTCCAGCACTTCTTAGGACACCAAAGATAGATTCTTGCTGCGAGGGAAATGTGCAGTGTTCAGTACCGGGTAAAGTCTGCATGCATGCAGCGAGCTGTCAGCCAGGCCTCTTTCAGAGGGAAAGGAGAAGTTATACATGCCTTTGAAGCATAGCTCGGAATGATGATAATAGAATCATAGACTCATAGAATAGTTAGGGTTGGAAAGGACCTTAAGATCATCTAGTTCCAACCCCCCTGCCATGATCAGGGACACCACACACTAAGCTATATCGCCCAAGGCTCTGTCCAGCCTGGCCCTGAACACCTCCAGGGTTGGAGCATTCACAACTTCCTTGGGCAACCTATTCCAGTGCCTCACCACCCTCACTGTGAAGAACTTCTTCCTTATATCTAACCTGAAGTTCCCCTGTTTAAGTTTAAAGCCATTACCCCTTGTCCTACCACTAGAATCCCTAACGAAGAGTCCCTCCCCAGAATCCTTGTAGGCCCCCTTCAGATATTGGAAGGCTGCTATGAGGTCTCCATGCAGCCTTCTCTTTTCCAGGCTGAACAGCCCCAACTTTCTCAGCCTATCTTCATACAGGTTGTGGTGGCTGTAATATTCAGCTTCTGCCATTGATGCAAGAAGTACTGAAAGCATGTGCAGGTTTCAGCGCCATGGCTCTCCCTGTGCTTGGATCCAGGAGCAGCACTCAGGAATCCAGGTTTTCCAATGCTACTGCCTTCCAGCAACCAGTGCACAATCCAGGAGAGCCTGGCTAACAGCATCTCCTTTGGCTCCTGCACTGAGCACTGCAGAGAGACTCTCACAGTGGGGACCTGATGTTATTTAATAATCATTTTGTGCAGAGAGAAAAGGTTTCAGAATTGTGTTTCATGCTGACAGGCAGAAAGGCTGTGACCCAGCAATGACACAAGCTGTTCTGGCTGTGAGAGCTAAGCTCTTCCATGGGTGAGTGGCTATGGACAGGCCATGCTGACAGAGAATGTTAGGACAGGAGCAGCCCAGGCTTGGTGGTTGGAACAGTTATTTCAGCCATTGCATATTCATCCATATCTGGTCCTCCGTATGTGGTAGGATGCACGCCTTGACTCCCACATACCATCTCTCTGAACTTCCAAACCATCTGAAGAAACATAGCTGTGCACAGTGCCAGTCAATAACACTGAGCATCCCTGCAGGAAGAGGTAAAGCAGCCACTACTCTCAGCAGCCTCTGAGTCCGTGCCACAGCTTGCCCTTTGGTGGATGCCAGCTTAAGGCTTGCACCTTTCCCCTGCAACCAGCAGTGCTTCAGAACAGGGCAGGAGGAGCCCTTGGTATCATCCAAACAACCACCACGTATCTGCTACTTGAACAGGACTTGAGACCTGTTGGAGCTGTGTCTGACCCTGGTTGTGTTCCTGTCCCCTTCCTTTGCCACATGTCTGAGCTCTGAGCGCTGCTGGGACTCACTTCGAGGATGGTGTCAAGGGTTTTTTTGAATATTCTTATTTTTCAAGGAAACTGCTTTGCTGACACTTCAGAGGAACATTTATGTTCCGAAGAGTGATGACTGGAGCACTGATAAGACAACGTTGGTCCCACACCCCAAGCATCCTTGTTGCCTGCCTGCACCAGCTTGGATGCAGAGAAGTAGCCCCAGGGGAGCGGTTGTGCACACTGGTCACCTGGTGGCACCATCAGCTGAGAGACAGCCTTGCTTTCAGCAACCTGCTCCTTCCTCTGGTACCCCATGATGGGAAATCGCTCCCTAGACAAAGTGAGGCATTTCACAGCTATTGCAGTGATTTTTTCTGTCAGAAATATTCCTCTTTTCTGTGCTAGCACCATTTAAGTGATCAAGCCTTCAGAAACAGCCTGTGCAGTGGGGCTGTTATCAGTGCAAAGAAGACCTTCTGGCATCAGTCATTCTGGTGGCCCAAGCTCTGAGCACTGCCCATGACCCTAATCCTCCTTCCCAGGAGCTCACTCCAGAGCTTTAGGAAGCTCATCTTGATGATCTTAAAGGTCTTTTCCAACCTAGTTGATACTGTGATTCTAGGAGACAGTTTGGGACTTGCCTGGCCTGACGATGCTCTGGAAACGACACCTTCCAGTCCTTCCTCCACTCAAGGAATAGGCAGACCTGGCCTTTTGCTTCAATCTGCAGGGCACTTTTAGTCCAGTGCTCAGCAGACTGTCAGGATGGGACTGTTCTCACCTGCATCATGAGTGTCCCCCATGCTGGGGCATTGCCAGAGCACTCATACAATCATCCTCTCTTTGGAGATTCAGCTTTACCGGCACAGGGGGCAGAGCAGCACTGAGGCACATTGCCCAGGGAGGTGGGGAGCTGCTCTTCTCACAGGGTTAAGGACCAGGGCAAAGCCATGGCTGACCTGTCCCCGTGCTGGTGACAGTCTGTGTCTGAGAAGGAGGTTCTCAGAGCTGTGCCTTCCCACCAACACTTGTGTAGCAACCAGAGCATGTTCCTTGGAACTCTGAGACTGCAAGAGGCTTTCTCAGTGCTCTGCTCAATGGGACAAGCCACCCAGGAGGAGCTGCAGCTCTAGTGCTGTTTCTCTACTTCCAACCCAGCATCTGCTGGATCTCTGACATCTTCTGGGAGTGACTGAGGCAGAGTCCCCACTGCTTCAGCTCTTCCCCGCTCTCTTAGGTGGTTTCAGGTGAAATCTGAATAACTGCTGGTTTCCTCCCTTCCTGGGGTGCACCAGCACTTTTGCTCTGATTGGAAACCACAATCACTCCAGTGCTACTGCTGTGCAAACAAGTCACTGCCGCTACCAAAAATGATGGTCGGGCAGTTGCATGCTCATCCCTGCATCTTGTGCTGCTCTTGAGCTATGTAGTGGAGGGGGTGAGCAGAAGGACCACATTCCACCAGTTTGACCCAAGCCCATGAACATGATGGGACCCAGCAGTTTGAGAAACAACAGCAAGACACTGTCCCCTCTGCGGCCACTCAAGCAGGTAATTCCGGCTGGGCTTTGAGGAGCAGCTCAGTGCTGCACAGGATAGGGCCAGGGAAGAGCTGTTAGCAGATTGGGAATGGGGTGATGGGGAGGACAGACTCCTGTTTTCAACAGCAGCAGCTTTGTTGCTTGTCAAACAGCAGCTGAGCAGATGTGAAACGTGTTTGTCCTGGCCATGGTGTATGCCAGAGCAACATGGTGGCTCTCCCCTGCTCAGGCACTGGCTGCAGGAAATGGCCTGTTTTGCACCCAGCCTCTCTTGGAAGCAGGACTGCTGCTGGCTTTGAGCATGTCTTTATAGATGATGTCTGAGGCTTTCTTGTTTGAGCATGCCAAGAGAAGAGAAGCTGCCTAGAGGGAGATGCAAATGGGACCCCTTGACTGTTCCAAGGCCCCAGCAGGGCAGGAGCAGGGCTGGCTTGGTGTGGGCATGTTGCTTGTGGCCTTTTTCAGGCTGTAGCTGTTTCTTGCAGCTGTGTCAGGAGCAGTATCTTGTACTCAAAGCAGGATGTCCAAATGGGCAGGGCAGCCTGAAGCAG